GTCAAAATTCGTATTAAAACATCGAAGATGTTTAAAAAGGGCGTAATGAGGACTTTTAACTGTTGTTTTCAGATATTTCTTGACACCAATGAAAGTTGTGATGAGTAAAATAATTGCCAATGTGAATCCTAATTGTAGGAAGAAATAATCTTAAGGAAATCCAGAAAACTATAGGCCTATTAGTATGACTTTTTTTTATCAACAAGGTTTTCAAATATATTGTTGAAATAAGTTAGAAGAGCATTTGATCATGAAAAGTTAGTATTTATTAACGATTCTCAGCATGGCTTTGGGAAATAATTTCTTACCAAACCATTTGGAGCTTTATGATAGGGCTTCCACCTTTCTAAGTGACGGCATCCCGGTTAATGTTGTATACATTGACAATCAAAAAGCTTCTGTTAGAGAACCTCAAAAGGGATTAATTGGTAAATTGAATGCTCATGGGTTTGATGGAGAAGTCAAGGAATGGAATAAAAATCGGTTTTGTTTTAAAAAGAGGGAGTGATGATATGATCATATTAAATATCAGTATATTCTACTATTCATAACTAGTATATAATATATCTTTACTTAGATATATTCAGTTAGATCTTTCTAAATTTTCATGCAGATTTTCTGTATTAGTTACAACAATCTTTTACGCTGGATGTGAAAAGTCATACACTTGCACTAATCCCCAAACTTAGGTGAAGGTTACATACAATAATAATTGTTCCGTAGGCTTATACTTGCTTGACCATATCTTTGTGTCATATACTCATGAAGCAGAGTTTGAATTGGAGAATCAAAAACGGCCCAGTGAAGTTATTTTTATTGACCTTTCACTGAGATCATGGGAGAAGGATTTCTGAAAAAAACTCTATGGGGTGCTTGCTCTTGATGCTGTACAGTGTATAAGACCCAGTAGTATTATTCATAGAGTTAAAACATTAAATAAAAATACCTTACGCAAAATTTTTAATCTATAATTAATATTTATTACATACACCTATATGATCATAAAATAACATAAACTAAAATTTACATAAAAAAATAATTTTATAAGAGTAATGTAATATCCTGTTTGTCGCTAATCCATGTCATAAGTCTTTACTGGGAAATTCGGCATTCAGTCAAGCCCGATTTAAATAGTGTTTAAGAAATTCAAATTTTTTCAATGGATTGACAGCCCACAGAGAATTTTTCCGGTATTCTAACTCACCCCTAATCCTATATTCGATAGTGAATATAGAGGTCGGACAGTTAAATGAAGATTTTCTCGTGTGTTCAAAGACTCTATTGACTTGTTCACTTGTGTTGTTCACAGTTTTCGAGAAGTTGGGTTTCAATACTAAAATATGTAAGGTCATTTAAAGGGTATGGAAGTTTTGAAAATACTCGTATCTTTTGTGAGGCGAACATTAAAGTTTTGTATAAAAAGAAAAAAAAGAAAGGTTTGGCTGTTATTATTAACAAAACGTTAAAGCTCTCTACTGGGTGTTAAACTTTAGGGTGTGAAGAGCAAATTGGCTTCTTAACCCTATTTCTTTATTGAATTTAAGAAGAGAATAAAGTTATTGTAACCCTTTATAAATCCGGTTTGATTTGGTTTGTTATGAATTTCGCGCAAAGCTACACGAGGGCTATCTGCGCTAGCCGTCCCTAATTTAGCAGTCTAAGACTATAGGGAAGACAGCTAGTCATAACCACCCACCACCAACTCTTTGGCTACTCTTTTACCAACGAATAGTGGGATTGACCGTCACATTATAACGCCCCCACGGCTGAAAGGGAGAACACGTTCGGTGTGATGGGGATTCGAACACGCGACCTGCAGATTGCGAGTCGAGCGCCCTTACCACCTGGCCATGACGGGCCTAGAAATCTGGTAAGATCTCATTTGGAATGTTGTGTGTAATTTTGATAATAGAAAGAGTGTAAAATATAGACAAGTAAAACGAATCATTGTTTTTGGGCCAGGTGTAGTTAGTGGTTGCATATGGGACTGTGGATTGAAGGATCCAGAACTCAAGACGTGATGATGCTAAAAAAGCACTTTC